TTCCAAAGATTCTTCTTTTCTTTCTTCTGCATCTATTATGTGGCATAAAACTCAAAGCTGATAATGGTATAAATGGCTTTATCTTTTTTTCTTTTCACAAAAGATTTCTGAATGAAGAAATACATGTCTGTTTAGTTCGTTAATTCGAGTTGAGATGTGATTTTATGTAAGAGTTTTTTACTATAATAAAACTCAAAATTTAAACTTAAATTAATGAAATGAACAAGACAAAAGAGAATTAATTGCGACCATAGATCGCTCTAGTGTTTCACCCTGTAAAGCAATGGAGAATCAAAGGCTACATATAGAAGCAAAACTAGAAAAATTAGGAACCTTTCCCGATGAAAGAACATGACCCCCAGGTTTAAGGACATCATTTATGACTATTCTGTATCTCAAAACAACATCCTAATTATTTTTTACACGGCTTTTTGTTAGAGAATAATCCTCTAAATAAAAATTAGTAATTGGCTTCTATATTTGTCTTTTTGGGTTTAAAGACTTTCCCCTTTGTAATATCTCTCTCAGCAAGGCATTTTCTTCTATTGAGTTGGATAATACAACAACCACAATTTCTCCTTCTCTCGATATTTCTTCTTGGTATCAGAACAGGTCATGGTAGGCAATGGAAGCACATCCGAATTTCTCATTCTGGTGTCGTTGCTCTTCCCTCCGTGATCAGAAAAGTTTGTCGTGAACTTTGTGAATAAACGTCACGTCCTTCACATATGTATAATAAATAATTTACAACTTGTCGTTTAATTTGTATAAACCACATGTTATTATTAGTTATTTGTTTTAAAAAAATATATAGTTTCATATGCATTTGTTTTTGAAAATCTAAGTAATGCTAACTTCAGGAGTAGAAATGGAAAAAAATCACCTTAGTACCCTGTGTTTTTAGGAAGGAAAAAAAAAACACATTAGTATCATGTGTTTATAGAGGGAAAAAAAACTTTAATACCTTGTGTTTTTAATAAAGTATTTGTATATTTACTCTCTAAACTTATTGGGTTTTGACAATTTATCACTTGAATTTTAAATTTTAACTGTTTACATCCTGACTTGTTAAATTATTACAATATATCTCATTTTAATAATGATTGTGTTAAATTGGTAATGAAAAAGTAAGTTAATGAAAATTTCAACATCTTAATTGAAACCATAATACAAATATTTCAATTACTTAAATCTAATAAAAATCAAAGCAAAGTTAATAAATCGAGACATATTGTAACAATTTTATAAATTAAGGAGATTAATTGTCAAAAAAAAAAAAGTTCGGGAGCAAGCTGCTCTACAAGTTCAACATCAAATGTGAAAAATACTCTTTTTTTTTATTCAAGAAGAGGGAGGAATGCCACCACTTTTAAGTGAGAATCGGGGTGAGTTGAACTCTCAACCTATGAAAATGGTAATTTCTATTAGAGTTTAAGAAGAAATGAGAAGAAAAGTGAGGGAGACGAATTACACTTTATAATGTATTAAGTTTTTATCTTAAAAGGTTAATCTGCTTAAATGAGGTGACGTAATATCCTTATAATAGATCGACCCAGCTCCTTTGAGCAATGGGCTGATACCATATTAGTATTTGAGTAGAGATGAGAAGAAAAGTGAAGGAAAAAAATTGCATTTTATAAGGTATAGAATTACATCTTAAAAAATTAACATTCTTAAGTGAGGTGTCGCAATATCCTTATATGACTTATGTTTTATATTTACACGATATGGGACTCGAGTATTTTACTCTTATCACTTTCATGCTTTTAAATATCATTCTAATAGTCTAAAGTTATTTTTTGAAAATCAAATATCCTTTATACATTTTCTCTATTTTTTTTTTTATTTGAGGGGTCTGAAGTTGGGGGGAAAAAACCAAAATATCATTTACTGATATTTGAACACTAGGATAACATTACTAATATTTTCGGACCATTTAAATTAAACAGATAAAGAATAAAAGGGGTTCATATTCTAAAAACGATTTTTTTACGGAATTCTAAAAAAAAAACGGTTTTGGGATATCAGAATTAAAAAAAAAATCAAGACACTATATTATATTATAAAAAAACATAGAGTATTGGAGTGACAAAGTATGAGTTTCTTAGCATAAATACAATATATAAGAAGTTGGCGATTGGACACTTCATTAGATACTTGAATAAAGTATTCCGTTGGATCAAGCCAGAAAGATTTAGGCTTCGTTCATTTAACCGATTTAAATTTTTAATTTTAAATTTTTACAGTAAAAAATTTTCAGAAAATGTCACATCTAACTTTTTTTACTATAGTAAAAAGCTCTAAAAAATGTCACATTTCAACTCAAATTAAAAACTTAAATTCGCGAAGTGAACGCGGCCTTAGAGATAATTATTGCCGTGTCAATTACACACAAATTATAATAAGGCATTTTGTTAATGCATATGCTACATAACGACTGTGACTCTTGACAAAAAAAACATTCAATAATATAAACAAAGGAGAATTGTTATAAAATCTTATTCTAATCAATGTAATCATACTTAAAAAAGAGAATTGTAATTAAATCTTATCCTCATCATATTTAATAAAGAAAATTGTAATAAAATCATATCCTAATCCTCCTTATTCTCTGGCTGAACTTATTCCTGATCCTTGCAATTTCATGCTGTGTGAACAACGGAAAAAAGATTTTTTAAAAAAATTTAAAAAAAATTAAAAAAAAAAGAAAAAAGGAAAAAGTACCTAACACGTGTAATCACTTTCGCGCGTGAGATTGTCTGTTACGAATGATATAAAAGAAATAAATAAAAGAAAGAGCCAAACTTTGGGTCTACATAATTTCAGAGCTTATTCTTAGGGTTTCTCATCGTTATCCATTTGTATTATCAAGCCGAAACACTCCTCTGCTTCTTCTTCTTTACTCAGGTACTTCTTCTTCTTCTTCTTCGTCTTTCTGCTATGAAAATAAGTACATTTCTTCTAAATTCAGCTGGAATCTGTGAATTACGAGTGCTTTTGATCTTAGTCGTTAATGGATTCCTGTTAATTTGATGCATAAATGAGCGATCTAGATCGTGGTTTTGACGGACATGGAACTTCTGCTCTTTGCTTTGTATATTTCTTTTTCATATTTGTTCAGATTATCAATTGATCGATTGACGTTTTGCGATTCTGATTGAAAATAATCGTTGCGCTTCCTTAGTAAGCTTCCGATTCTAAAGGATCTAAACGTTGATTTTTGTTTGATATCTCCCGATAAAGTCCGTGTTTAGTTCTCTTGATATTTTGATCAGATGAGAATCGGACTTTGATCGCGGTCTATCGATCTTGTTTTAATGTGATCTGGTTCGAATCATCATTGTTCTTGAAAAAAAATGAATAGTTTCTAGCTTTTTGAAATTTTTTAAAGCTCCGATTAATGTACTGTACAAATGATATTATCTAATATTCCTTCGTTTTTTGTTATTTTTTTTTGGGAATAAAGGTTGTGTTAAGTGATTTGCGTTTCTTCAATTTAATTTGCATTTGGTTTTTGAATTTCGTTTGAAAAAGTAATTAAATGCGATCCTGACAGATAATAGAAAAATAGAAATGTGTTAATGATAATATTTGATCCACTTGTATAGTTGCATTAATTGTTTCTATCCACTATCCCTCTCTCATATTGTCTGTGTGTGTGTATATTTGTTTCTCTTTTGGATCTTTAAATTCTCTGAACTATGATTATCTTCTTGTCTAGTCTTTTTCTTTCTTTCTTTCTTTCGTTCTTTTTTTCTTCCCTTTAAATCATTTAATAATTTATATTATCTTCGAAATGTATAAACATTTGTGTAGGTGGTAAAATGTATTTATATTCGGCTTTGTTTTCACACGCATTTTCAATATAGTATTGTATACAGAAGTTTTTACATGAAGAAAGGATTTACTGGATGTCAACGGGTTACGAATTCCACTAAAATGCATATGTATAAGAAGTTTGGTTTCGTAGTCCTCTGAAATTCCTACTACATTCATTCATAACTTAAGGTTGACCAGGTGATAACTTAAGAGTCCAATTTTCTGTCAATGTAAAAAATGTATATTAAGATGGAAATAAGCATTACTTTACTTGGTCCTCATCCTAGAAGTGGAAAATGAAGTAAAAAAGTTATAGAAAAACAGATTAAGAGCGAATACCTCTAGTAAAGGACTTATAATTTATGGGAATAAGAAGGCAACAGTAGCCAATACTGTTATTTTCTTCATTGGAGGGCGTTCACCTTGGAGGTGTTTGGTTTTCACACATATTAAGGGCTTATTGCTTGAAAGGAAAAACAATTTACATGAAGTAGAGCATCGAGTATAACCTCCCTTTTTTTCCACAGCTAAAAATGCAAGGAGCAATTCGAGGATTTTTGTCGAATGGAAGTGTTGTGAAGAATGCAGTTCTGCAGCGTATCTCTCTTGTGAACCCACTGTTTCAGCCTGCTGTCCTTTCCCGATTTCAGTCGGTTACCTCTCCTCGTATGGAAGAGCATGGCTTTGAGAGCACTACAATTGCTGATATCTTGAAAGCGAAAGGCAAAAGTGCTGATGGTTCCTGGCTCTGGTGCACTACGAAAGACACTGTATATGATGCTGTTAAGTCGGTATGGGCATTGTTTGAATTTTTACAAAAGCTCTTGTTATTAGAGTGAGCTGATAGGCTTTTCTTGCTGCCTTAAGTAATTATCATCGTCTTTGTAGATGACTCATCACAATGTTGGAGCTCTGGTGGTGGTGAATTCTGAAGAGGATAAGTCAATTGCAGGAATCGTAACAGAAAGAGGTACTTTTGCAGATCTTTTATGGTGCTTTACCACATTGTTAATTGGTGTGCTTTTTCCTGTGCACTCGTGAATATCATTGTAGGTTGCAAATGCTGCACTAACTAATCACTAATGTTTGGAACACAAGTTTGAACATTTCTGATAAAGTAATTTCTTTTATCCTATGGTTTATTTCCAGATTATCTGAGGAAGATCATAGTGCAGGGAAAGTCATCCAAGACGACCAAGGTTGGAGAGATCATGACTGAGGAGGTATAAATTGCACATGGCAGTCTCTTGCAAAAAAAAAAAAAAAAAAAAAAAAAAAAAAAAAAAAAAAAAAGAATAATAATAATAATAATAAAATAATGATACTATGGATTTCATGGACTAAAGTATGTTTTTGTGTTTCTGTCTACGGATATCCTAAAGTCTTGATTCAAAATGCTATAAAATGTGGGCTGCAGAATAAGCTTATCACAGTCGGCCCTGGCACCAAAGTTTTGCAGGCAATGCAACTGATGACTGGTATATATATCATATTCTTTTCTTGTATTTGGGCATTTTCAGTTGCTGTTTTTCCGTGTTTATTTTTTTTTCCCCCTTTCCTCAGCTAAGGAAGATGGTCTAACTCCCAAATTGATGTTTTCCTGGTAGATAAACGGATCAGGCACATTCCAGTGATCGATGAAAGGGGAATGATAGGCATGGTGTCGATTGGAGATGTGGTTCGAGCTGTGGTGAGTGAGCACAGGCAGGAGCTTGAACGCTTGAACGCCTTTATTCACGGAGGTTACTAGATGATTAATGATGATGATGATGATGACAAAGTTGATGGGACACTGTTTAGCTGCCTCGTCTGGCTGAACACTGAACACTGAACAATAATAAGAAACCTGGGTACTTGTACATACCGTCTGCTGCTCTTTTGTGAAGTCATGTTCTTTTTTTGGTTCTGTGAATTCCCTGATGTCAATGAGCTCTGACATCAAACACCAGACATGCATGCTTTGACAATAACAAGTACTTTGTTGTTGCTCGAGTTTTCTGGTTCTTATCTTGGTGCATTCTAGATTTTCAGATTAGTCGATGATAACTTTTTCGTTCTCCCTTTTTATTGATTCTTTTCATTTTCATCTGATGTGGGGTTAAGGGGAGTTTTTTCAGTTGGATTTTTCACTTGAAAAAGCCGACATTGTCAGTAATGACCAGTTGTGGTTGGGAAATAAAGGCATTTCCTCCCCCCCACTTTTTCTGTGTTTATTACTGAAGTTGAACCAATAGATGAATGAAAAAAGGAAATAAAAGATGAAATATTGAAATCAATTATTGCGACATTAAAGTTAACCCAATAGATGTGCTGAAAAAAAAAGGATAGAAATAAATGAGATGTAACCTTGTAAGCAATTAATTTCGAACCTATAGATTGATTCATCCTGGCAGCAAAACCTTAATTGGGTAATCACCGTTAAACGACAATAACTCAAAAAGGGTCCACTATTAGTAATTGCAAGTTTATTATTGTGTTCACATCATAACAGCAATATGATTTGACAGTGACGTATAACTTGGAGAAAAGATGGGTTTTATTGCAGCATGTATGAAAGAAATTATGGGTTTGTTTAGTTCGTTAATTCGAGTTGAGATGTGATTTTATGTGAATTTTTACTGTAATAAAAAAATTAGATGTGACTGTTTTTTAAAATTTTTTATTATAATAAAATTCAAATTTTAAACTCGAATTTATAAAATAAACTTGATGCACGAACTTGTGAGTAACGTACACAAAATCTTACGACTCATTCCTTTCCCCAAACGAAAGAAAGACCCTACGGCCACACCACTAGTATAATTGTTTTGTTTTAACTTTCAGATGTGCTTAAACATTTCCATTTCTAAAGTTATGAATAGCAGAAATATTCTCACTTCAAACAAAAAAAAGAAACAGAAATATTCTAACAAAAAAAAAATTACATTTGTTAAAGTCTAACTTCATTTTGCAGAAACTTTTGATTCACGCGAGATTTGGGAAATGTTGTCTTAAAATGAATGAACAAAGCAAAGTTTCTTTTCTCTTTCTTTTCTTTTCTTTTTCATTTTTCTTTAATCTAGAAATGACTAATGAGCTAAAGCGTCCAAGTGGGGGGTGCATAAAGCGCCTCGTATAGTGGACCAATTTTTTTTTTTATTAATCCTTCAATTAAAATTGTCTCCAAGTCCGATACTCAAATGAAACAGTATATGTATATTTTTTTTTAAAAATATGTATATATTTTTTTAAAATATGTATATTTTTTTTAAATATGTATAATGTGAAGAGATATTTATAATTTATTTAAATATATATATATTTTTAAAAGAAATATAATGTAACGCTTAAATTCGATTAGAGATTTATCTATATATACACACACTTCTATGTATTTTTATTTTCTTCTGTAATTTTATCACCATTATCACATTTACATTCTTTTGGATTTTAAATAAAAAAAAGTATTTTTATTTTTATTTTTCACGTTTTTTAAGAAAAAAATAAAAATAATTTTAAAACGACATTTAGTAAAATTAAAGACAAAATAAAAATAAAAATGATTTTTTAATTTAGTATAAAATATAAGAGAAATGAAAACTTTTTTATTTTTATTTTTTTCTCTCTCGAACAGAGAGAGACATTAATGAATTTTTTTATACTGAAAATAATTTTTTAATAAAACTATTAAACATATTTTCAAAAATGATTTTTATTTGAGATTGAAAACGTTTTTATTTTTATTTTCATATAAAAAATAAAATAATTTTAAAACGAGTTCTAAACGTACTCATTATTTTATACATATTTGGAAACCCACCGCAACCACGAATGGACGGACCATATAAAAACAAAATACGTGCATATATATAGAAATAGAGAGTCAGAATAATATAACAAACAAATCTCATTTAAAGTAATTTTTTTTTTAAAAAAGCCAATCCCAGATTGCATATGCTTCATTTTAATTTAGTATAAAATGGAAGATAAATGAAAATTTTTTTATTTTTATTTTCTTCTTTTTCAAACAGAGAGATATTAATAAATTTTTTTATACTGAAAATAATTTTTTAATAAAACTATTAAACATATTTTTAAAAATAATTTTTATTTGAGATTAAAAATATTTTTATTTTTATTTTTATATAAAAAATAAAATTATTTTAAAATGAGTTCTAAACGTACAATTATTTTGTGCATCTTTAGGAACCCACCGTAACCAGGAATGGACGGACCATACAAAAACAGAATACGTGCATATATATAGAAATAGAGGGTCAGAATAATATAACAAACAAATCTCATTTAAAGTAATTTTTTTTAAAAAAAAAAAAAGCCAATCCCAGATTGCATACGCTTCATTTTTATCTCCTTGGCTTCCAAGTATTCCCCGTAAATTTCCTTTCCTCTTCCCAAAATGGCAAAAACAATGGCACCATAATTTCATTACTGTAGCTGATTTGTCCTTTCGTGGATGTTATTTTCAAAGACTCGGCTTGTTTTCACTTGACTCGGTTCCTTCCTCTTTTCTCTGATTTCTTCGGTCACAAGAACAACGCAAGAACAGAACAAAAACAAACAAGAAAGAAAGATTTAAATTTATAACCAAAGTAAGTTTGCGTTTCAATTTCTGATATGTATTTGTTAATGGGTTCTCGTCTGTATTGGCTTTGGTTACATGCGGGATAAGTTCTTTGTTGTTATTATGTGTAAATTAGTGAGGTTCCAAATGGTGTCGTTTATGTATGCATATACACAATATATAGATATGTATATGTAGATGAAGAATTGTATTTTTTGGCGCAGGTTTTGGTCTGAAATTGAGAAGTGGGAACATGGTGGGATTTCCAGGGTATGATATTTCTAGCAGAGAATTTCACAACTTTGCGTCTGTGTTTTCTGGCATAATTCTCTGCGTCATTGTGAGTTTTATTGTTCTTATAAATTTTCCTCCTATAAGTTGTAGATCAATGAGGTTGATAATTGCTCAATAATTAAAAAAACAGGTTAATAATGCATATAGAATGGTTCCAATAATAATTGAGTAGGAATTGTTTGTGTAGTTTGAACAAAATCTCTTTATATGTATTAGTGCATTACACACACGCACATACAATATTAATGAATTCTTTATGTTGTTTTGTTTATGTCTTCTACATGGCTTTAATGTTCCCTCCTGAATTTAACAACTAATGGACTTAAATTAGTGTTGTAGAAAAAATATATATACATATATTCTTGTTAGTAACTTCCAAGTGATGTATTTTGGTTCTTGAAGGTTTATAAATTAACAGGTCTATTTAGCCTTCGTTGCTTCAAGGGATATGGCAAGTTAACCAAAGCACAAAAAATTGAATGGAACAACAGGTAAACAATCTCTCTCGTCTTACCTTATGATTCACCTATCATTTGTCGAACATTTGGTTTCAATTTCTTCATGGCATAATTTTTGTTGGGTTACTTATGTAGGGGGATTTCAACAGCTCATGCCATTGTTGTAGCAATTGCATCTTTCTACCTCGTAGTGCTATCCGATTTGTTTAAAGAGGATTCTGGTGATGGGCTGATCGTCAACAGATCATCTACTTTGTCAAATACAGTGATGGGGGTAAGTGTGATGTAATAGAAGCATTACTAGGTTCTCTTAGTATGGTTTCTTTCCCCTACTCATTAATTTATTTGCTTGTAAACCAGCTTAATTAAATTTGAATCTGTTTTCAAACTTTGGTTATATGCATAAGCCACCAGAGCCAACAGCTGGGTAATGCTTCAAATTAATGTCATGATGAGATGCTATCACATTGGGTATTAGAAAATCAAACATATTTTCTTCGCATTGCAATATCTTTAGACTGTTTCTGAAGATTGCGCACATTGATTTTTTCCCTTCTTTTTCTAAGTTAGCTTAGGTTTGTGTTATTAGTCATGTCTCTCACGTTTACTTTTGTGTACTTGGTACAGATCTCCATTGGTTATTTTCTGACGGACTTGGGGATGATTTTTTGGCTTTTCCCAGCTTTAGGTGGTCTGGAGTATGTAAGTCCTTAAATGAAAGCAAAATGATTGTTTTATATCAAATTGTTATGTCAACTACTGTGAAATCATCTTTCAAGAATAAAATTCATTGGTTTTCATATCCATTTGGGCCGAGTTGAAATAGAATATCATGTAACTTAGTATAACTGGATTTACATTGTGATTGTTTAACCAAGCTTCAGATGTTAGGCACTCTTGAGTGTTGACTTGACTAATTAAGTTGCATATGCAATTCAGAAGCTGATATAAACAAGATTGCCAATATTGTTCATCTCATTTTGCTTTTATCAGGTTATACACCATGGGCTATCCATGTTTTCAATCATTCTCTCCCTTGCGAGTGGTCAAGCGCAGATGTACATACTAATGGTTCTCTTCTCTGAAAGCACCACGCCTTTTGTGAACTTAAGATGGTAAGATTAGTATCTAGGAGTAACTATGCGTTGATGTTCATGGTTGTCAACCTTGGCTTATTTTGTAAACACAAATTCAGGTACTTGGATACTGCTGGTCAGAAGAACTCCACTCTCTACATCTTCAATGGCGTTGCACTATTCCTCGGGTGGTTGGTACTGTCTAAGTTACCCAAATATCTCGCTTTATTTCAGTCATTTTCCAATATTTATATTTTAGGTTGCACGTTGTATGTGGTAGGAATAGTCTCTGCATCGCCTGTATTAGTTGTATGCTCAACTTCAAAATCTGGAGTATGAACTATATGCCCAGAATATGAAGATTCCATGAGCTGTTGATTTTTTTTCAGAAAAATTTGCAAAACAAAGAATAAATGAGCTGAAACATAGCTGCTGAAGCTAACAATCTCTAAAGTCTAAACTAAGGTAACTAATAGTTAATTGGGGTTGAGCAAAGGTTTCAAGGTGTGATGGAATGTTTTTTAAGGAGGAACTGGGTGATTTTTCTAAATGGTTTCCTTAAAACACGGCATTATGCATTTGACTGATTTATCTCCATGATTCGTATGACTAATTCATCTCTCTCAATTAGAACCCGAACCAACCCTGGATGCACAAGTGGTTTAATTTTGACCCTGATAATGTGGCTGCTTTCATGTGTGAGTACGGCTACATATAGACGTGCATATAAACATACATATACGCATCCACTTAGTGTCGACACCTTGCCTTTTTTTGGCCGTTGATCCAACAAAAGTAATGAAACACTAATCTTTTTCTTTTGTAAGTTTTGACGCCAAGTGTAGGATTTCTTATCCTAAGTGTGTACTTTTCTAAATTCTTTACGTAATACTGTTACACTTTTCCAATGCTCAGTGGTATTGAATTTCAACGCCTGCAGGTTGCAAGGATTCTTTTGTTCATTTACTTCTTCATCCACATGTCTACTCATTTCAATGAGGTTAGTTCACACCATTCTTCTACTAATTAATGAGTCTTGATAACCAATACTTAGTCATTGCATTCACTTCCCTCTTTTGAGAGACAAATATAAGATTCATTTCCACCAACGGAAAAACTCCACTATTTTCTTGTCAAATATTTTCGATTTGCGAAAAGGTTTTGGCTTGGTGTTAAATCATACTGAAACATAATACTATAGCATCCTTTATTTCATAGTTTGATTCAATGTTATTATCTTTCTTTTCCCCCTGGAGATATTAACAATTTGCATTTTTTTATTGTTTCAGGTGAAGACAATATTTCCGTTGGGCTTCTACAGCTTGCTGGCGGTGGCGCCAGTGTTAGCAGCTATGAATCTATTCTGGTTTTGGAAGATTGCAAAAGGTTTGATCAAAACTCTTTCCAAGGCAAGACACAGCCAGTGATGCTGCCACCATTCGAAAACATGGGTATTTCACATTTGACTTGCCCAATGTACATTTAGTTGTATGCCTTTTCACCCCTTCTTCCTCACACCTTTTAATCTTGGAAAATATTCAAGGTATACATTCTTTTCCATGTTCATGATTTAGAAGAATATATTCAAAGTTGTTCATAAGATATTTGAAAACTCCAATTTTTTTTTTTCTAATGGGCCACACAATCATGCCTAACGTTAGCTGGAAAGTTTATGATCTGGGACTTCTTTTTCTGAACTTGAAGAGCAAATTTGGAACTAATGCTAATCAAATTTGGTATTGAACAGTTGGGATAAAAGTTGTAACAATTTAATGCATTCTAATATGGAATTAATGGGGTGCTTTGGAAGCTAATCTTGGTGGGCAATCCCCGAGTTTTCCTTCTGGGATGTTGCTTTTATTGACCTCAACGAATCCTCGCCAAATATAATATTCTGATGCTAAAAATTAAGCTTTATTTATGTATTAATTGTGCTGTTTAGTTGTAGATTTCGTTTTTTATTACCCGTACGGTTTCATTAAGGGGAAAAAAAAGAATAGAAAAAAAAAAGAAAGAAAGAAAGTCGTATAATTTCCTTTTTATTGAAGTAGGAAGTTTCCTTTTTTAGCTTCGCACTTCGTACCACTTTTATAAATTTACGAGTAACATCACATAAACATAGGACCAGAAGATTGTCCTCGACTTATTCTTCAATTCAGCTTCGCAGACGTTACTATACACCTATAAAGGTTTTAGGTACTAATTTTTCTTCCTTAGTTTTGCATGAGCGTCTTATTATTTTGCTATTCTAATTGCTTCTGAGTTTTTTGTGTCTTTATTTTCGTTTTTGTTTTTTTGCACACGTTATCAATTCCTTGTCATGATTGAAACTTGTAATGATTAATTTTCGGTTTTTATTGATTAGTTTGGTGTTCCTTCCTCGATGTTCATGCCGATAGAGCTTCAGTATAAACGTTTGGTACATAGATTCAGAACTATGATTCAAAATTATTCTCATTTTACGTGTATTTTTTGTAAGAAAAAATACTGTAGTGAAAATAATAATTAAAAAGACTCATAGTCTGACCCTAAGAGAGAAAATAATAATTCAAAAAAAAGTAAATTATACGTGGTGAGACTTTCACAAGAACATGGGTTCTTTTAATTTGTTTATTTTTTTTTTTAAAAAAAAAAAAGAAGAAGAAACCCCCTATCTTTTTTTGTCTTAAATTAGGTTTAAGCATTAAAATGTCTTTAACATGGTGCTAGTTTGGGTCGTACTTTATTGCTTTTGAATCACGAATCACATATTTAGCGAAAGCATCACTTAGAACATTTGTTTTGTGAATTTATGCCATAAATCTTATTTATATATATAATTTTTTTCATTTTTTAGATTAAATCTGCTAAATATTATTATTACAATATTATATATATTAAGTAAAACAAAATTATTACATGTTGAAGCATGAGTCCTAATTATTTCACATATATTGCACACAAAAGATCAAACATCCTTTCAGAACCACATCCCGTGTGAACGTTAATGAAAACTCATGAGGTGAATTATGAGAGTGAGAAAAGAAAAGTGCATCACTTCACTCATCAGTAGAAAATTTCAAACAAAGTTTTTTTTTTCCTTGGAAAAAGTCAAAAGACCAAAACTTCCAACAAAGTTAGCCCCGTTTAGTTTATTAATTTAAGGACCCGTTTACTTTACAGATTTAAATTTTTAATTTGAATTAAGATGTGATATTTTATAAGAGTTTTTTACTATAGTAAAAAAGTTAGATGTGATATTTTTTAAGAGCTTTTTACTGTAGAAACCTAAACCTGAAAACTCAAATCGGTAAAATGAACGATGCCTAAATTTCATTGATTTAAACTTTTAAATTAAACAAAAAATTTTAAATTATATAATTTAAATTGTAGTTTGAATTAACGTTTGGATGAGTAGTTAAGTTTTAATTTGAATAGAAAATAAAATTTAAATTTGTATTTAATAAGTGCGAAAAGCAGAATGAGTAGACACATTTTTACTGTTTAGAAATAATTTAAATAGTTTAAATAATTGAACTTAAAGGAGAATTAAATTTTAAATTAGACTGTTAAATTCAATTTAAATAAAAAATATAATTTAAATTAAATATTTATTAAATACTAATTTAAATTATATTCACCGTTTAAATTAAATTAAATTGAATTAAACTAATAAAATAAATGGGGCTTACAGGGTCGGTGGTCCTTGTCCGTTGGTCTATCCTAATATTGGCCTGCCCACCAGGGACATAATTTCCGTGTTCACAAAAATCCAAATAACACCCATACCCATCCATTTACATTTATCGTTCTTACACACCAATCTGAACTCAATGGGGTCCACTGTCCAGTGCGGGCCTAACTAAGAAGATAGGTCTAAGAGTGCGTTTAGAATTATTTTTAAAAATATTTATGCTTATTTTTTAAGACATAAAAATAAAAATAGTTTATAAATCACATTTATTTAATATAAATTTTAAAAACGGAAATAAAAATAAAAAATAATAAGAATAATTTTTGTGAAAGAAAGTAAAAAATTATTAAAAATTATTTTTCATTTTACGTTTTTATTTTTTAGTATTTATTAATAAAGTTATATTAAATAATTAATAATTAATTACTAATTAAATAATATAGTAATTAATTATTCAGTTAAAGATTAATTGTCAAAAATTAATTATATAACATATTAATAATAAAACAAGTAATATTATGTTATTAAATAAATAATAAATAATTAATATATCAATCATATATTATGTTAATTATAATCTATTAATTAGTAAATGGTTGGTAAATAAAAAGTAAATAGTAATTACTCAATTAATAATTAATATTAAATTATAATTATCAATATGTAATATACTAATCAATAGTAATTAATCATTATAAATTATGTATACACAAATCATGTGATATATCAAATAATAGATTATTAAATAAACATTAGTAATTAATTAACTAATTATTTTATTATGTAACTAAAGGTTAATAATTTAAATAGTAAATGGAATATTAATAAATTATGTATATACAAATTATTTTTCTTAATACACTAATAAATTACTTATAATCTAGTAAATATGAGAGTACATTACTAACATAAGTAATTACTAATTACTATTTTTTAATTATTTAGCATAGTAATTTATTATGTTATAGTTTAATTACTAATGTACTCTTCTATTATTATTATATTATTAATATATTATTTTTTATTTTTTAAATAATTATTAATTATTAATATATTAGTTTAAGATTATTAATTCTCAAAACAAACATAAATGTAATCAAACACGATTTTACTTTTTTATCATAGTCAATCTAATCTCTTAAAAGATCACTAAATGTAATTTTAAAATCAATTCTAAAATAATTTTTAAAATAATCTCAACAAAACTATTTTAAAAATATTACCAAACGGGCTCTAATTTTCTTACAAATCCCATTGTTTTGCATAGCAATCGACAAGAAGTCTCAATGAAGTGAACCGTGTTCTGATGAGCAAAAAAAGGTAAACCGTGTTCTTACAGCGTTTTTTCCTATGTGTCCATGTGCTTGCGGCTTTTTTTTTTTTTTTTTTGGCAAGAACGTGTTTGCCTCTTGGCGTGCCTCAAAGCTTGCTTCCTTACTGCCACTAAGTGCCTCCGTTATTCTTTTTGAAAAAACCGTCCCTTATAAATGGGAGGGAGAAAATTGAACCAAGAAAGAAACAAATAAAAATAGACTAACGAACGAACTTCTTGGCCATCCATCTCCCTCTTCATTTTCTTGCACTTGCGCTTTTGTTAGTTTTCATTTCATTTTATTTTATTTTATTATTTTTTGTGTCTCTTTTTTATATTTAATTTAAATTAAATATTCCTTATTCAGCCTGTGGCTTTCCCTGACTTTTCTCCTGCCGCCCACCCCCCAACCACTATTTCTCTCTCTTCCCTTTATTTCCTTCTCGAAAATATTAAACATTTTGCAGAATCCCACTTTTTCATTTTTCCAGTTTACTTGTATCTCTAAAAGGCTCCTTGTTATTTTAACTAATCAAATACTATCTAGTTTCTTCCTTCATGAACCAATGAATTCCAAACAATACCGAATACGTCAAAACTTTTCAGACGAAGAAGAAGGAATGGAAATGGAAATAGAACTAGAAATAGACCCATTATTGTAGCATTGGCCATACCAGAAATAGCAGCTATTGGTCCAAATACCTTGGGTCTCAACCATCATTATTCAATATTCATCACTACGACTCGTTGTTAAGTCCTTGACCGTTGAGTGAAAATTTGGTTATTCCTCTCTCTCTCTCTCTCTCTCTAATTTATATTTGACCCAGGATTTTAGCAAAAATCTCAATTCATTTATTTTTATTTTTTATTTTCTCAAAAGCTTGTTTGAAAGAGGCAGAAATGTGGAGGAGAAAATGCGGTTTTCTTCTGAATCAAAGTTTGAGTACGACGGTCGTCGGCCATGGCTTTCAACTCACAAACCCCAGCGTCGTTCATTCGCCGTCTCTGTTGCATCCGAGCCGCTTAATGGGGCGGCCCAAGGCTTTCGCGGGCCAGGAATGCGGAATCACGACGAGAAGCTCTTGTTTTATCACATTGTTGTCCGTTGGATTGATCAAGCGGTTCTCATCGTCGTGGTCCACTTCGTCTTCACCTTTGCCGTCGGATTCGAACTCGAAATCCAACGACAGTGATGAGGCCAGGCCGATCGGCAAGGCGGAAGCGAAGCGTTTGGTGAACGTGGAGGATCTAAAAGCCAAGCTTGAAGCGGAAATGAAAGAGGTGATTTCGTACCACGAGCTTTTTGAGGCCTGCGAAAGTATTCGCATCGCCAGATCTTCTGATGAGGCGGAGGCGATATCGTTATGGGAGGCGAAGAGATTGATGAGACTGGTGGATGTGGAGCTTCTTTTTTCGAAGCTTGGAGCGGAAGGGGAAGAGGTGATTTCGTACGACGAGTTGGTCGAGGCCTGCAAGAGCATCGGCATCGCCAGATCTTCCGGTGAGGCGGCGGCGTTCGTTAGAATCCTTGACGAAGCCGGCCGCGTCTTTCTCTTCCGCTACAAGGTCTATCTTAATCCAGATAAGGTAATAGCAACTTCTTCTTCTTCTTTTAATTTAATTTAATTTATTTTTAAAAAATTTTTGGAAAGTGTATAGAAACCATTTTAATGCTTTAATAACTTCTTCCGCAATAAGGTATAATAGCTTCTTTATTATTAATATATATATATAATTTGGAAGTGTATAGAAACCGTTTTCCTATTTTTCTGCTTTCTTGATTGTCTGTGGGTATAGGGGGGCCCTTTTCTTGCACTTTGTTCTCTTGATTATTAGTTTATTTCTAACTGAAAACTTAGCACAAATGTTTTGGACAAATTTTTTTGGGGAGATATGTCCCTTTCCTATTGTTTACATGTGTCGTAGCTTTGTTGAGTGTTTTCAAGTTGGAGAGAAATGAATCTAACCCATTTTTTAATCATAACAAAACACATATGTCCTCAAATTCTGAGGTTTAGTCAGTTCCCATGAACTGTGAAATTCCTATGATATGATACCGTGAAAAACTTCCATTTGGTCGAGTATTCTCAATTGGCTCAAATCATTTGCAGGGTCTTTGATAGAACCTTAAGTTTTTATTTATTTAATCTTTTGAGTTATATTTTGTGTTGTCACTCAACATTCATCATATTTGTTTATTTCACATCTAATTGAGTGCTATTTCAACTTTTGAAAGTCTGACATCTGTATGTACTTTCAATAAAACATGCGTTGAAATTTATGTTGTCGTTTTTTGTTTAAATTGTATATTTTACGAGTCTTTGACATGGGGTCTTTTGAGGAAAAAGATGAAAACTTAAGCAAGATGTGTTTTTTGCACTAGTGTATTACGTTCTAAATTTTTATGCATTCCGATTTCTCATAAGACTTGATCACATTTACTAATGGTTAAACTTTATTCTCATATATCCAGGTAGTGGATTGCATTAGAAGAGCAGATCCTCTTGATTTGACGCTTGAAGATGACTCTGGAAAAGAAGAGCTAAAGAGACTGCAAGAAAAGAAGGAAGAGATCGATGTGCTAGCGCATAAACAGGTCCGACGCGTTCTCGTATCTGGCATGGTGCTAGCTTTATTGCAGGTAGGACTCTTCTTTAGGCTTACATTTTGGGAATTCTCATGGGATGTTATGGAACCCGTTGCATTTTTCACCACGATGGTCAGTTTAGTCATAGGTTACGGCTACTTTCTGATGACTTCAAGAGACCCAACTTACCAAGACTTGATGAAGAGACTCTTCCTCAATAGGCAAAGAAAGTTGCTGAAGAAGTATAATTTTGACTGTGCGAAATTTAAAGAGTTACAGAGAAGATTGAAGATACCTCACGATGCTACCGCCTCAATCAAGAATCGGTTTGGTTTAGAACTCGACCTCGAGGACGCCTTACACAAAGAGTAACAAGTTTAGTTTGGGAAGGGGTTTAATACTTTTAACAATTTTTGGGACATTTACGCGTTGGTAACAATGTTACAAAAAGTTTTAATTAAGGGAGATGGGAATAAACCTAGAACAAAAGTCGTGACTCATACCCTGTTTATAAAAAAGGGTAAAGACCAGCTACAACTTATTCTTAACCGATGTGGCACCTTTTAAACAGCAAAATTCTAACATAGCAGACCTTACAATTTTGGTTACTTAAACATCTTCAATGTTAGTTTTTACTATCCCGAGCTAGCAATCCTTGTGAGCCTAGTGTTGACTATATAGAAGTACATAGTTTTGTTGTATTACTTATGACATTTAAATAATTATCAACATAATATTAATGATAATTATTTATTTTTAAGTGAAATAATAAATAATATTTTTTACCACTTTTAATGATATTTTTGCTTTTTTTTTTTGGCTATATAATAGTGGCTCCGTCTAATCCAATACGTATTTTTTAGCTTAAAGCAAACCAATCACAATTGACAGGTTGACAAATTTACATCCAATCTATGCAGAAGCTTTACAGAATTATTATGAAGCTATGCGACTAGAAATTGATCCCTATGATCGAAGTTATATACTCTATAACATAGGCAAACGGAGAACATACGATAGCTTTAGAATATTATTTTCGTGCACTAGAGCGAAACCCATTCTTACCACAAGCTTTTAATAATATGACCGTGATCTGTCATTACGTGCGACTATCTCCACTATAGAAAGGGAAAAAAAGAGCAAATATGTTAATAAGTGCAGATTGAATCAATTATTTTGATGGGTAGATTAAATTTACGCATTGATTTATCCAATTACTATTATTATAATCATTATTTTGTAAAAAAGACATCTAAAGTTGGACAATAAGTTAAAAACCATAGAATCACAAGTTATAAACTAGTCTAATGATAATCCAATTATTTCACGTAAGCTACAAAGTCAATATATACATAGTTCAACAATCAATAGAAACTCAATATATAGTTCAACAAAAATCCAAATAATACAATAAAAATCGTCAAAAACTAGAAAGCAACAAGGCTAACGCTAAGACTTTTAAAAGTTATAAAAAATTATTTTTAAAAAAATATACGTGTATAAAGTATAAACAAGTTTGGATTGATTATTTTTAAGCTCCAACCCTCAAAATGTGAATTTAAGAAAGTGTGGATTGATTATTTTTAAGCTCAAACTCGCAAAATGTGAATTTAAGAAAGTGCCATCCAATCCAATTCACACTTGATTTGCGGATTGGATCAGTTTGATCAGAATAAATGGGTATTTTAATATTTTTGAACACCTCTATATATAACATCTAAGTTGGCTAATATATTTGATGTCATGTATTTCTCAAAATGAAAGATACATTAGCCTTCGATGCGACGATGCCAACGATTTGATGCCTTTCTTGAATTACACAAGCTTATATACATTCTTCTTTCTATAAATAAGAAATTCAGCTTCAAGAGAATCGACCAGATCAGTTATAAATTCTTCTGATGATCCACTGAAGTGCTCCACTATATCTGATAGAGTAACCTGCAGTACATCCACAGGCAAAATTTTCACCTTTTGAATATCCAACAAACACAAAAGAGGAATAACAAGATGAGCTTTCTTTCTATTAACGACGAGTTATTCACATTTCACTCACCCCTTCATTGCAGTTCTTGAGCCAACTTAGGACAGAACTCTCTGTCGCCTTCAATGGAACGGAACTTTCTTCCATTGGTTCTGTGAGTCTTTGTCGCTTATTTGCTAGAAGATCCTCAGCTGAGAGAACTGAATCAATCTCTTCAATGTTTTCCAACTGAAAACCAGCCAAGTGGTTGGCATTCTTAGATTCACAAGGTGTTTCTTTGCATGCATTAATGGAATCCTGTTGTGAATCTTGAGCCTTGTTCACACGTTCTTCGGCATTCGGGTCGGACAGAATTGATTCTGCAGAAATCCCTCTGTTTTGAATTGTCAAGTAAACCTTGATTTGTGTGTAACTTATCTGGCATCATAAAAGCATACGAGTCAATCCTAAGGTATTGGAGTTTCTCTAACCAGTATTCACAGAAAAGATAAAATCCTATTAGTAGAGGAATTCCCGAAGGCAAAGTATTCAAGGTTTTGAGCTCACATCTTCTGGTAATTCATTCTTAATAGGCTTCAACTTTTCTCTGGAGCCGACCTTCAAAATGGCAGTTTGAATATCTAAAAACATTTCATGTGTTAATCCAATCTCGTTACATAATCTCGTCCAATCCATCGCAAATCCTTCTTGAGCCGCCTCTAATATATATTCTATAACGGTCTGTTCCTTAATGGGAGCCGATCTACCTGGGAAGTTCTGTAAATAAAAAAGGACAGATTATAGCATGAATATGATACAATTTATGCAATTTTTTTTCGAAAAAGAAAAAACATACAGCGATTTTCTGGATTGAGAGGCCATCTTCATGCCACATTTTCCAGGCATCAAACTTTGCGGGTGTCAACTTCCTCTGTTGGTTGGGCTGGCTGGGCGTTGGATATACGTTTCTTGTTGTAGCAGTTTGTACGGTTGCCTCTCCATCCAAGAAAAGGTTAAGTTGTTGAGATTGATGTTTAATAATTTGAAGAAAATGGTCTCCATATTTCATAAGAAAGTGCTGCAACATTAGTTTGGTTCAGCTTTTAGGCATCAAATACAAAGCAAAAGCTACGTAGTGTGTCTGAACAGCAGTCTAAAAGTATCATCACAAATATCAACAAAAATCCTACTGGAAATATTGTTTTAATTCATAAGATATACCTGGTTGATACCATCGATGTTCGCTATCCGTGCTTTGGTAGATGGTCTAGTCAATGCAATTCTTTTAACTGCCTGGTCACCACATATAGCATATCTGCAAACACGAAGGTATTAGACCAATATGATGTACATGTAACAGCCTTAGTAAATTTGTCAAACAAATAGTTTTTAGCGAAATCATTGGAAAGAAAAAACTCTTACGGAGCTGTTCCAATGTGTTTTGCAAGTTTCATTCTTTCTTCTAGAAGCATGCGATAGAGTTTTGCTTCAGTCTGAGTTGAAGATTTTGCACAAGAGCAAAATTAGATCAGTTAGTGCAATATAGGGAGGAAAAAAGTAGGAAAAGCAAAAGGCAAAAACAAAAAAGATTATAAATAGGAGAATTGAGACAAAAAGAAGGTTATTTAATGTTAGACTTGGAAGGGAGGGGCTGAAAACGTATTATAGGCGTAGGTTTAAGAATTAAGAACAGGGGCAGTTTGGAAAATTGACAAGGTCATTAGTGGGCGACTGAGTTTAAGAAGGTTGTTAGGGGAAGATTAGGGTTTCTCATGCATGTTTTGGAAAGTATTAGCAATAGATTAGAGATTATTGGAGAGGTGTGGCCTAACTCTCGAATCAAAGGTCATTTGTTTCTTTCAATTTCTATTTGATTTCCAATTTGATTTCTATCAAATTGGGTATCAGAGCTCTTTCCTAGGGAGATGGCTGCCAAGAAGATGAATGCTCTTGGAGAAAGATTGGCATCTGAGGTTGAGGAGATGAAGACAACTACAGAAGGAAGATTTTCTGCCATGGAGGACAAATTCAACAACGTGGAAGGACGGTTCAATAACTTGGAGGAAATGTTGAAGAAATTGATGGATCTTCACGCTAACCCTCTGGCGGCGGCGGGTTCACCGACGCCGTCAATGGTGGCCATCGACACGGCTGAGAACTCGGTCAGGCGAGGAAAGGGAGTGGCGATTGGGGTTGAGGGGACCCCTGGGGAGGTCAAAAGTTCCCTGGGCGTGCGCCCTAGGGTTTCGTTTGAAGAGGGCGGCGTGATGGGAAAGGGGGTCAGACCGGCTGGGGAAGCCGCGGCGAGGACCGGTGACGGCCGGGGCGGACTCGCGCCAGCCATCGGCGGTCCCGACGGGTACCCGCGTCGCGGATTCCTAGACCCGTGCGAAACCCGCGATTTGGGAGGGGAAATTGGCGGCGCTCGAGGGGGTTTTGGAGCGAGGCCTGACCAGAGGGCCGGCGGGGGTTGGAACGGCAGTGCACGGGGAGCATCGCCAGCCGCCGGTGAGGCCTGGGCAGTGGAAGGCGGCAGCGCGCGTTTTGGACAAGAGAGGAGGGGCGATTTGGGACCTTATGGAGCCAATTTTTGGGATTTTAGGGCTGGGTTTGGAGATTTCAGGTCTGGGCAGGTTGATTTTGGGGGTTGGGACCCCGGTAGAAAGGACAATCCGGTGGAAATTGGACCTTTTGTGGCTGGGCAGAATAGAGGAGGTGATTTTCCTCCAAGGACAGGGGCTACTTTTGGAGGACAGGGAGATTTCGAGGGTGATTGGCAGATGGGGTATGGGCGGGGCCAAAACCCACGTTTCATGGGAGGTGTTGGTAATAATCGAAACATTTGGGGCGTGGATTCAAGAGTGAGGAAATTAAAGATGCCACTATTTGAAGGGGAAGATGCTTATGGATGGCTTTACCGAGTTGAGAGGTACTTTGCTATCAACGGGTTGACGGAGGAAGAGAAGTTGATGGCAGCGGCATTGTGTTTGGAAGGCAAAGCGTTGTCATGGTTTCAATGGCGGGAACAGCGACAACCAATAAGGTCGTGGGAAGAGTTTAAAGACCGAGTGATCGAACGCTTTAAGGCTACCCAGGAGGGGGATTTACACGAGCAGTTCTTTGCTCTAACACAAGAGGGGACCGTTATGGATTATAGAGAGAAGTTTGAATTGCTCTCGGGGCGTTTGAGGGGAATCTCGGAGGCAGTATTGGAGGGCAATTTTATGAAGGGGCTGAAAACAGAGATTTGAGCGGCGCTGCGGTTGTTGAGGCCGAGGGGGCTTGGCGAGATCATGGAGTTGGCCCAAATGATTGAGGATAAGAATAAGACGGAAAGGGCTAACAGAAGTAACTTCGGTGTTTTCCAATACCGGAATACTATTTCAAGAGGAGGGGTGAAAACTCAGACGTTGGGGGTTCAGAGAGATACAACGAAGGATAGAATGGGAGGAGTGCGACCAGGGGGTACTTTCAAACGTCTGACGGAGACAAAGATACATGACAAGTGAGCGAAAGGGTTGTGCTTCCGATGCAATGAAAAATTTTCTCTGAGGCACCGGTGTAAGGATCGCTCATTACAAGTCCTCACGGTATGTGATGATGAGGGCGATGAGGGGGAGACTATAAGAGATGTGATAGAGGAGGAGGAGCATCCTCATTTAGATGTGGCAGAGGTCTCGCTCAACTCGGTGGTGGGGTTCACACCGAACCACACTATGAAGTTGGTTGGGAAAATTGGAGCAGGATGTGGTGGTGTTGGTGGATAGTGGAGCGACTCATAATTTCATCTCCAATCGAGTGGTGGAGAGGTTAGGACTTCGGTTAGTCGACAACGGCAATCTTGGGGCGGTCATGGGTAATGGTACCGTGGAGAGGAGTAGAGGAATTTGTGGAGGGCTCATTTTAACGCTCCAAGGAATTCAAGTGTTGGGAGATTTTCTTCCTTTGGATTTGGGTAGCACATACATCATTATGGGAATGAAGTGGTTGCAGTCATGGGGTGAGACGAGGGTAAATTGGAAGCTCTTGACAATGGAGTTTCAGGAGGGAGGTCACACTACAGTGCTTCGCAGAGATCCAAGTTTGTGCAAAACCCTAGTGACCCTCAAAACCATGGTTAAGGCAATTCAGGATGGTGGGCTCAGTTTCTTGGTTGAGTTGCATATCATGGAAGGAGAGCGGAATGAGGCGACGACGAGTGTTACCAAGTCGGTCCAGCAGCTGTTGGAACAGTTTGAGGATGTCTTCAAAATGCCCAAAGGGTTACCCCCGATGCGGGAGCACGAGCACGCGATTGTGTTGAAGGAAGGGGTATCACCAGTGAGTGTACGGCCGTATCGCTACCCACACGTACAGAAAGATGAGATCGAGAGATTGGTCAACGAGATGTTGGAGGCAGGAATAATAGCCGAGTGTGAGCCCGTTTTCGAGCCCTGTTTTATTAGTGAAGAAAAAAGATGGGAGTTGGAGATTCTGTGTCGACTATCGGGCATTGAATAAGGAAACGGTATTGGATAAGTTTCCGATTCCGGTGATTGATGAGCTGTTAGACGAGTTGTATGGAGCGACGGTGTTTACGAAGATCGATCTGAAGACGGGGTATCATCAGATTCGAATGCGGAGTGAGGATGTGCAAAAGACTGCATTTCGGACCCATGAGGGTCATTATGAATTCCTAGTCATGCCGTTTGGCCTCACCAACGCCCTAGCCACTTTTCAGTCGTTGATGAATAAAGTCTTCCAACCCTATTTGCATAAGTTTGTTTTGGTATTTTTTTATGACATCCTGGTTTATAGTAACACATTGGAAGACCATGTTCGCCATTTGGAGAGGGTGTTGACGGAGTTATGAAGCCAACAGCTCTATGCTAATCGAAAGAAATGCCTGTTTGCTCAAACGAGGGTGGAATATTTAAGGCACGTAGTGTCGGCAGAGGGAGTTGCGGCAGACCCATCTAAGGTTGCGACAATGCAGGAATGGCCATTACCTAAGACGTTGGAGGAGTTGAGGGGGTTTCTTAGGCTCACGGGGTACTGTCGAAAGTTCATCAGGGGATATAGTTCGATTGCGTAGCCTTTGACAGAACAATTGAAGAAAGATAGTTTTCAGTGGGGGGAGGCAGCGACTCAGGCCTTTGAGCAGTTGAAGAAAGCGATGACTAGCATTCCAGTGTTGGCCTTACCAGACTTTAGCCAACCATTTGTAGTTGAAACTGATGCTTCAGGGTATGGTTTGGGTGCAATACTCATGCAGAACCAGCGACCAGTCGCCTATTTCAGTCAGGTGTTAACAGCTAGAGCGCGACTCAAATCGATGTATGAGCGCGAACTCATGGCGATTGTGCTCTCTATTCAGAAGTGGCGACCTTATTTACTGGGACGGCGTTTCATAGTTCGTACGGATCAACGTAGTTTAAAATTTCTGCTGGAGCAGCGTATGGTGACAGAGGAACATCAGCGTTGGCTTTCAAAGCTGTTGGGTTATGATTTTGAGATACAATACCGCCCTAGGTTGGAAAATAAGGCGGCAGACGCCTTATCAAGGAGGGTTGAGGAGCCTCAGTTGTCGGCGTTGTCAGTTCCTTTGGTGTTGGATTGGGAGGCTTTATGGCAGGAGAGCGAGGCCGATGAGGAGTTGGGGAAGATACGAGCGGCTTGCTGGGGGGAGGAGCGGGGCCACCCAGTTATGCATTGGATGGCCAACGTCTGTTGTACCAGGGACGATTTGTTCTACCACAGACTTCTATTCACATACCGAGATTACTACAGGAATTTCATGGAAATGCTATTGGTGGGCATTCAGGTGTTCTCAAGACATAATGACAGTTGGCGGCAGAGCAATATTGGGTAGGGATGAAAAAGGATGTGGAGGACATGGTTGCGCGGTGTGATGTGTGTCAGCGTCACAAGTATATGGCGATGGCACCAGGTGGGTTGTTGCAGCCTCTATCGCTACCGGAGAAGGTTTGGGAGGAGGTGACGATGGACTTTATCGAAGGGTTGCCTCGATCGGAGGGATACACTGTGATTTTGGTGGTGGTTGATCGCCTGAGCAAGTATGCTCATTTTATACCCCTCCGACATCCCTATACGGCAGTGTCTCTAGCAGCGGCGTTTATGAGAGGGGTGTGCGACTACATGGCGTTCCGGAATCGATAGTGTCAGACCGGGACAAGATCTTTTTGAGTCACTTTTGGAGGGAGTTGTTTCGGATGCAGGGGACCGTTCTGAAAAGGAGTACTGCTTATCACCCGCAGACCGATGGCCAATCGGAGGTCGTTAATCGAAGTGTGGAGACATATTTAAGGTGTTTTGTATCTGACACACCCAAGCATTGGGCGAGGTGGTTGGCTTGGGCGGAGTATTGGTATAACACCTCTTATCATAGGGCGACGCAGACTACCCCCTTTAAGATCATGTATGGGCGGGATCCACCGCATTTGGTGCACTATGGGCACCACACCACGCCAGTGTCGCAAGTGGATCAATATTTGGAGGAACGAGATCAGATGTTGGATGAGTTGAAGAAACATTTATTAAAAGCTCAACAGATTATGAAGCAGCAAGCGGATGGACATAGGAGGGATGTCCAGTTTGAGGTGGGGGATCGAGTTTATTTGAAGCTCCGACCATACCGACAGAAGACGTTAGCACGACGGAGGAATGAGAAGCTTTCTGCTCAGTACTTTGGGCCGTTTGAGATCATAGAGCGCATTGGTGAGGTGGCATATCGTTTGCGATTACCACCTACGTCGGCCATTCATCCGGTGTTTCATGTGTCCCAGTTGAGACGTGCTATTGGAGATCATGCTTCCTCACCTTCATTGCCGCCTACTTTGACTGAGGACATGGAGGTCGTCTTGGAACCAGAGGCAATGGATGGGGTCCGTCAAGGAACGTCGGGCGGACGGGAGGTGCTTATCAAGTGGAAAGATCTACCAGACTATGAAGCTACATGGGAGCCGTTTGACTTGATTCGGGAGCAATTTCCTTTGTTCCACCTTGAGGACAAGGTGTCTCATTGGGAGGGGAGTAATGTTAGACTTGGAAGGGAGGGGCTGAAAATGTATTATAGGCGTAGGTTTAAGGATTAAGAACATGGGCAGTTTGGTAAATTGACAAGGTCATTAGTGGGAGACTGAGTTTAAGAAGGTTGTTAGGGGAAGATTAGGGTTTCTCATGCATGTTTTGGAAAGTATTAGCAGTAGATTAGAGATTATTGGAGAGGTGTGGCCTAACTCTCGAATCAAAGGTTATTTATTTCTTTCAATTTCTATTTGATTTCCAATTTGATTTCTATCATTTAACAAAACATTTTAGTGATATATACGCGTACTGCTAGCTAGCTTTCAAAAACTGAAAAATTGATGCCCAAGATGTTCAGGAAGAAAACGAAAGGATTCCTACTGGTTAAATAATAATAATAATAATAATAACAATAATAATAATAATAATAATAACACAGCATCCCAAATGGATCTCTCATTTGGCTGGCCTGTTTTCTATTTATTGAAACCCCAACTGTTGATCGCTCATTTATGCAAGAAAATAACAAGATAGATGACAAGCAACGATGAAAATGAGACAAACTCCAGAACAAGACAAATTATACTAACCTCTGAAAATCCTTCACTCTCTAAAGTAGCAACACCCTTAATTTCTCCAACATCACCTCCTACGCTTGAGTTTACCTCATCATCAAGCATTTCACTGGTCACTGACAGAACTAGAGGTGGTTGATAGTTGGGTGTGGCAGAACTAAGAAATTGTTCCCCTTTTGGACTAACACTGGTGCATAAAGTAACAAATTTTTATTCATTTCGTTGCAGAGTGAATTCATTATAAATATCAGAACAAAAGGAACAGGCCCTCCTATTCAAAAGGAAGATTAATAACTGATAAAATCAAATTCAGGTAATCAAGGAAATATGGATGGAAATACTGTACCTTATAGTTTTGTAGACATCGCTTACAGTCTCTGTCAAATAACCTGCATAAAGTTACACATTCAGGAAAAAGAAAAGAAAAAGAAAAAAAAGCTCAACCACAATTATCATTCTAAGGACAGCGTAATTCTTCTCATCATAAAACAAAAGATGATATGAACAACATCAACTATGCCCATTTATCAAGCAACAAGAAGAATGTGCTGAGAAAAGTCAACTAAAGCATCAGCAAAAATCAGCTAAAAAGTAAGATGTCTCATTTGTATACCAGAAGAAATCAACTGGTAAGCAAGTGCTTTCCACCAATTTGCTGAATAATGTTTTCCAAGACCATGGAGTGGAAGCCTGTCAAACTGAGCATCCAGAACTTTTTTTGACTGTCAGCCACAATTGAAACAAATCAGAGATAGAAGAGACACATATACAATAAACAATGCAAGCTCAATATTCTTAACGAATGGGAACGTACTCGAGAACCACGGAGAATATCTACATGCATATTCAATCCCCATCTACTCCTGCATGATAGCATACAAGCCATCAAAAGGAAGGCTTCTTTAGACATGTCACGCTCCTTCTTTGAGCTAATGCAATTATCACAATTTCCTGCAAACAGAATATCAAGTAATTTAGCTAGAAATATAATGCAAAAGAGAGTTAACAGTAGCATGAAGAAGATCATGTTGAAATGGCAACCCCATTTTACCTAAGTAATAGTTTCCAAAGTTTTGGGGGGAAAAGACATTTTAAAATGTTCAAACTTCAAAGTGATAGTATCTCTGAATCAACCTTTCAGATGGTTTTTTTTTCTTTTTCAAATTACTTGTCTAAACTCCGCCTATGCGTTTTTATAGCCGGTCCCAAGCCCGGGTAAAGGAGGAGGGTTGTGATAGGTTGACGGCCAACGTAAAAATTGTTGGAGATTTTGTCAATTATGTGTAAATATTTATTCTTCCTGTTTATTGTATGATTTAGTCAAAATAGGAAAGTATAAATTAGGAAGATATTGTAGGATTGTCTAGCGTAATTTAGGGATTTTTTCCTTAACTTTCTCTCTTAATTGCCGTGACCAATGGCTTACTAAGTGTATATATTCTGACAAGGTTAATGAGAATTATGAAGCAAGAATTATTCTTCTCTCTGTTTCTCTTGTTTCATGGTATCAGAGCCACCGAAACTGGTGACTAGTCAAGAAAACAGAAAAAAAAAATGTCTGAAGAACAGCCGAATACGCCCTCAGAGGAGTCTTCAACAGCAATTGATCAAGCATCTCTAAGATCTATATCCGGAGCCTCATCTACACACTCGCTGGACAGCCACTCGCTGCAAATCACACAGCACAAGCTTAATGGGCTGAATTTCCGAGAATGGTTTCAGTCCGTCATTCTTGTTGTCAGAGGAAGAGGGAAGGTTGGATACTTGACAGGAGCAATCACAGCACCACCGGACACAGCACCAAACTACCGCACTTGGGAGGCAGAAAATTCGATCGTCATGGCATGGCTTATTAATTCTATGGAGCCAAAGATTGGAAGAACTTATCTGTTTTACAAGACAGCGAAGGAGATTTGGGAGGCAGTCCAAGAAATCTATTCCGATCTTGAAAACACGTCTCAATGTTTCGAGATTAGGTCAAAAATCCGCAACACCATACAAGGGAGTCTTACTGTCACTGAGTATTATAATTCTCTCTTAGAATTATGGCAAGAAATGGATCTCTTTTATGAGATTGGATGGCTGTGTGCTACTGACGCAGAAAAATACAAAAAAATGCTTGAGAAAGAGCGTACCTTTGATTTTTTGCAGGGCTTGAATCCAGATTTAGATGAAGTACGTGGACGGCTACTTGGGATGAAACCATTTCCAACTCTCCGAGAATCGTTTGCTGAAGTCAGGAGAGAAGAAAGCAGGAAACGAGTGATGATGAATCCCTCTAGTCGTGACATGCCTTCCTTGGAAACACGAGGGTCTGCACTTGTGGCAAACAAACAAGATGGCAGTCGTGGGTTTCAATACAAACAAGATGGCAGCCGTGGCTCTCAATCAAAGGACAAGGTCTGGTGTGATTATTGTAACAAGCCCTATCACACTCGTGAAACTTGCTGGGATTTACATGGCAAGCCACCAGATTGGAAACCAAGGAAGCAACGTGGGCAATCAAGTTCAGCCCACATAGTGGAGTCGAAATCAACCCGCAGGGAGGAGACAGAATCGGACAGGGCTGCTGGTTTTAATCTCTCAACAGAGCAAGTGGAGATGCTACGGCAGCTTCTCAACCAAACTCAGGTTTCAACAGGATCCGCAAATCAGACTTCAAAACCTCCCACTGCAGCTATGGCACAAACAGGTATAATGAGTCAAGCATTCCTGTCAAAATCCCTGCAAGCAGACTGTTGGATTGTGGATAAAGGGGCTTCTGACCATATGACCGGGTCAATGGAGTTTTTTGAGCAATATGACAGATGCAATAATCTAATTAATGTCTGGGTTGCTGATGGAAAAATGTCACCTGCGGTTGGAAGAGGCTTGGTTTGTTTACCGAATATGACATTGAAATCTGTTACACATGTGCCCAAATTGACATATAATCTTTTGTCAGTTAGTAAATTAACAAACGATCTTAATTGTGTTGTGACTTTTTTCTCCTCTCACTGAATTTCAGGACCATTCTTCGGGGAAGATGATTGGCATTGCTGAGAAGAAAGATGGCCTATACTACCTCTTAGGAGCCAGGAATTCCAGTAGAGCCGAGTCACAAAATAAAATGTCCATGTCAGTTATGTCTAATTCTGATATTATGTTATGGCATCAACGCTTAGGACATCCAAGTTTTTCTTATATGAAAGTCTTGTATCCAAATCTTTTTATCAATAAAGAGAAAGTTTTGTTTCATTGTGAACAGTGTGTCCTTGCCAAACAAACCAGAGTAAAATATTCACCTCATACATACAAACCCTCTAGACCATTTCAATTGATTCATAGTGATATCTGGGGTCCGTCTAGGACAATTAATTTAACTAAAACCCAGTGGTTTATCACTTTCATAAATGATCATACTAGGGTTTGTTGGATATACTTGATGAAAGATAAATCTGAGGCATTTTACTGGTTTAAACAGTTCCAAAAGTTTGTCCAAAATGTTTTCCAATCCAATATCCAAGTTCTTCGAACAGATAATGGGGGGGAGTATTTTTCAAATGAGTTTGGCCAATATTTGGGGGATAATGGGATATATCATCAGAGTTCATGTGTTGATACACCTAAACAAAATGGGGTTGCGGAAAGAAAGAATCGTCACTTGTTGGAGGTTGCTCGATCGATCATGTTTACTAGTTTAGTCCCGAATTCCTACTGGGGGGAGGCAATCCTCACTTCCACATATTTGATTAATCGACTACCTTCAAAAACACTTCAATTCCGAACTCCTCTAAGTGTCCTTCTTGATCATTTTCCAAATGTGAATCTTTTCAATTCTTTGTCCCCAAGAGTGTTCGGATGCACTGTATTTGTCCATAACAAACAACCAAATAGGAGTAAGCTTGATCCCAGGGCTTTTAAATGTGTCTTTGTCGGATATTCTCCAACCCAAAAAGGCTACAAATGTTATTCTCCCTTTCTCAAGAAATTTTTTGTCTCGTGTGATGTAACTTTCTTTGAGGATCAACCATTCTATCCCACCACTCGTTTCCAGGGGGAGAATGCCAATGAAAACGAGCATTGGGATCCCACTGTATCTCTTCCAATATTACAAGATGTGTCACAAGAGGCCTCTAGTTCAGCCTCTAGTTCACCACCAGAAAACTCGAGTCCAATTCCTGTCCCTAATCCTAGTTCGAGTCATGATCAAGAGATGGTGCAGCAACCCATCTCTGAGAGACCATTTCAGGTTTATTCTAGAAGGCCAAAAGCTTCTCAACAAGTCCAATCATTGAACCAAGAATCGGATCCTGGTGAAAGCAGTGACTTGAACGTGCCAATTGCAATACGGAAAGGGGTAAGAACATGCACAAAGCACCCTATCTACAATTTTCTAACCTGCACAAAGTTGTCTTCTGGGTTTAAGGCTTTTATAGCGAAGATCGATAATGAGAGAATTCCCAAAAATATCCATGAAGCCATTAAAGATCCAAAGTGGGAGAAAGCCGTGCAGGAGGAAATGAGAGCATTGCACGATAATGAGACTTGGGAAGTAGTTGACTTACCAAAGGATAAGAAAGTAGTTGGAAGCAAATGGGTCTTCACAGTGAAATATAAAGCAAATGGAGAAGTAGAGAGGTATAAGGCTCGATTAGTAGCTCAAGGCTTCACACAAACATATGGGATTGATTATGAAGAAACGTTTGCTCCTGTGGCCAAACTCAACTCTATCCGGGTTCTTTTGTCTCTTGCAGCCAATCTGGACTGGGAACTACACCAACTTGATGTGAAGAACGCTTTTTTGAATGGCAATCTTGATGAAGAAGTGTATATGAAGATCCCACCTGGATTCGAGTAAGAAGAGGAACAAGGAAAAGTTTGCAAACTGAAGAAGTCATTGTATGGTTTGAAACAATCTCCACGTGCATGGTTTACCAGGTTCAGTTCTTCTCTCACTCGACTGGGATATACTCAAGGGAAGGCTGATCACACTATCTTCATTAAAAGAGGAGAAGGTAAAAAAAGGGCCATTCTTATTGTGTATGTTAATGATATCATACTCACAGTTGATGATACTGTTGAGATTCACAACCTCAAGAACCAATTGAAGGAAGAGTTTGAAGTTAAAGACTTGGGACCCCTGAAGTACTTTCTCAGTATGGAAGTTGCTATAAGTAAAGAGGGTATCTTCATTTCTCAAAGGAAATACACTATTGACCTACTACAAGAAACCGGGAAACTGGGGTGCAAACCGGTGGGAACTCCACTTGAAAAAAATTGGAAGAGCAAGATTAAAGATGATGTGCCTTCTGTGGATATAGGAAGATATCAACGGCTGGTTGGTAGGTTGATCTATTTGTCTCTCACACGGCCTGACATTGCTCACGCTGTAAGTGTAGTAAGCCAGTACATGCACTCACCTACTCAGAGACACCTAGAGGCTGTGAACCATATCTTGAGATATCTCAAGGGTACTCCAGGAAGAGGATTGATGTTTCTGAAAAATGAGAACAGAAATATCGAAGGGTATGTTGATGCGGACTGGGCTGGAAGTGAAGATTGTAAGTCAACTTCGGGATATTGCACCAAGCTATGGGGTAATTTGGTTACATGGAGAAGTAAGAAACAGACAGTTGTGGCAAGAAGTAGTGCTGAGGCAGAATTTCGGGCAATCGCACAGGGAATTTGTGAGGTTATATGGCTGGAAAGATTAATGCAAGACTTGCAAATCACAGTTTGCTCTCCCACCAAGGTATATAGTGATAGCAAATCTGCAATTAGCATTGTGAATAATCCGATTCAACATGATCGGATGAAACATGTCAAGATTGATCAAAGCTTCATCAAGAACGAAATTGAAGAAGGAGGTATTGAGTTGTCCTACATCTCAACCCATGCACAAGAAGCAGATATCCTAACCAAGAGTCTACCGAAGCCTAGTCAGGAAAGTTATCTCTGCAAGCTTGGAA